CCATTAAATAATCTTTTTATTTGGGTTAATTTAGTTTGTGAGTATAAAGATCATTTATTAATCTATGTATTTAAAATTTGCAATTTATTTTATAAATATTTACCTATTAAATAATCTTTTTATTCTAGTGAGTGAGTATAAAGATTATTTATTAATCTATGTATTTAAAATCTGCAATTCATGTTTATAAATATTATCCATTAAATAATCTTTTTATTCTAGAGAGTAAGTATAAAGATTATTTATTAAACTATGTATTGCTACCGGAGAATTATAGCGAGTCAGTCACTTGACTCTCTAAAACTTGTATAACCTATGAATAGCTTAGTCAAAAGAGGGCGTTTAGATTTGGGGGATGGGTTATATTCATCAGTGAGTACTCTATAGTTTCTTGGTAATTATGCCTTAGGATGTTACTTCGATAATACTAATCTTTTATTTAATTGAAGGGAATCACATAGAGACTTTATTCTTTAGAGATTTGGACAATTTGGATACAACTGTACATTGTGTATTCTAAACTTATCAATTATAACCACAATTACCACAGTACATCAGGCAATTGGACAAGTAATGCAACTACAACTTACCACAATCCATCAGATTAGCTGGACAATATACTATGGTTAGTCTTAGTATGTTAAGACTTAACTGGAAAAATTTAAGGGTGAGTATCACGTGGACAAGTTTAATGAGGATCTTATTGTTAGTTACGTTAAACAGTAGATTAGGGTTTGAGAATTAGTTTAGCGAAAGGAGGTATTCAGGATTTAATGTATTGGATAATTATTCAATAAAGAACTCAATTTACAAAGTGAAACTTAGGAGAATTGTTTCTCCTTACTGGACCTACATGGCCTTTATTTATAATATAATTTTCGTATACAATTTATCTAACTTATTACATTTATACCATTTATCTAACAAATATAATAAAAGTATTATATCTAATTTATCACTTTTATTGCATTAATTACACTTATTCTATTTATTACATATATGCGATAAATTAGATAAATACAATAAATGCAATAAATACAACTTTTTCATGACTTTGGGTCACGTTGTACTATTCTGAACCTAATTTAACTACACTTTGGATTTCACAGTATTTAAAATCTGCAATCTATTGTGAACTGGGAAATGTGACCAGGCCAGACCTCGCCTGAGGTTATTTGAACAATCTGCAGTATAATTTTCAAGTAGGCTGATCCTTGACTTTTAAAGAGATTCTGGTATTATAATCATTATAATGATTATAACGATTTTAATAATTATAATAATTATAATAATTATAATTATTAAAATAATTATAACTGTTATACTGATTATAATAATTGTAATTATTATAATTATTAAAATAATTATAATGTGTATAGCGATTATAATCATTATAATCTATATAACGATTATAATAATTATAATTGTTTAAATTATTTAAATCATTCAAATCTGTATTATATTTATTTTATATAAATAAAAGGTATTTTGACCCCTCTGCTCAATATCGAGCAATCGAGCACTTTTGCAAGATAATTCGAACAATAAATTATCTAGTGTTCTATTCCTGATCCCAAAAATTCCTAAACATATTTCACTAAATCACTTATCTGTCTTTTAATTTGTAAAGACTTTTGCTAAATTATAAACTTGGTTCCGTGATAATATCACGCTACCCATTTACTCTTCAAACAGAGTAAAGTGTCATTAAGTCATTTGATTAAAGAGAACTTGTCTTCTGAATCTTGTTTTTGACTATTCTAAGAGAGAGGATAGGTCAACTTAAATAGATTGTAGGAAGTTAAGAGAATCAATAACCTTAAAGACCTACCACATAACCAGAGTCCAAATGATAACCAAAGCCTTGGGAATCCTTTTGCCTAATTACTATGCCATCTTTCGATAAGTTATTGTAGAATGTTGTATGAAGATCTATAAGATTGAGCAACAGACTCGCCATTTTTAGAAGTGACAATTTGGTAGTAACTGTGAGATTTGACGCATTTACTCCTCTTCTATAAAAAAGCGAAAGATAACTAAAAGAAAGAAAGAAAGTAGATTAGTATAAAATATAAATATATATATAACAACGTATAAATAATAAGAGATAGAAGACTTTGGACTAATTAATGTAAGAGAAGAAAGAAGGAATTTAGAAGATGAGGTTCTGAATGGTGACCAGATATATGAAGATCATAGACCTCAATAGGAACCTGAAGACGAGGAACCTGAAGATACTTATGAGATCTTTAGACAACTCACCAAAACCTTCAAAAAGCTAGCTGGTGGAACCTCTAATCGAGAAACAAACTGGGTTCAAATCAAACCCTTCAAAGGTGAGGAGGATGACAACTCAGTAGAATAGGTAGAAACTTTCGAAAGAGCTGCAGATGCCAACAACTGGAAGGGTAATAGGAAAGTCAAAATCGCCTCTAGTTATCTCTTTGGCATTGCCACTAGTTAGTACCATAGAAAGAAGAATGACCTACAACATTGGAATAATATTAAGACCCAAGATGCTAGCTTTATTAATGTCTTCATCCAATATTTCACCACTCCCAAGAAGAAATACAAGTGGCAAGTAGATCTAAATTATTTAACCCAAGGAGAAACAGAAAGGGTAGATGCATACGCTTACAAATTTAAAAGGCTACTTACAAAAGTAGACCCAGATAGTAATCTACCTGCCTCATATGTTGTAAGAATGTTCCTAAGTGGGTTATGAGGAAAAACCATGGCTTTTTTATCCATAATCAAACTCAATAATTTAGAGGAAGCTATTATTAGAGCCCAGAGGATCGAAGCTGGAAATCACTATAAAAATAAGGAAGAAGGGAAAGATATGATGAGGGTAGGTAAAGAGTTAGAAGATTTAAACAAGAAACTACAGCAGATGGCCAATGGGTATGAGAGACTTACTTTGACAATAGCAACTGCTATACTCCCATCTAAAATTAACCTCCAAGACTACAACTCGCCTGATTTGTATGTTTCAACTGTGGAGAGCCAGAGCATATTTTTCAAAATTGCCCCTTAGAAAGAAGAACTAAGAGAAATAATTCTGGGTATAAAAGAAGAAACCCGAATCTCTTTCATACTGATCGAGTTCCCTCATAACCTCGAAATGTTAACTTTTGTAGAATGGAAGATGAAAAAACAATGTAGAAGTGTTGGTAAACACTCCAAAATGTTACCAACCTTATACTATTAGAAGGAAGGAACGTCTCCTTAGAAACTTAGAATTAAATTGGGAGGAATGACTAAGGAGAAGGACCCAATTGAGGAGGAGACAGAGCTGATCCCTATGGAAGAGGAGTTATGAAGAAATAATATTAATGAGGAGGAGCCTGTGAGAATTCATCTAAAACTAAGGAGAGCACCCTCTGTTGTAGATACGTTAGAACCCTATAACATAGCCAATGACCTATTAAACATAAGGTCTAACGCAACAATAGGCTAGTTGCTTAAGTATTCTAATCAATGCTGTAACCTAGCCTAAGCCTTTAGATATCCTAGGCTCTCAGTAGAAATGAACTATGCTTAACCCAGAGTAAATTATAGTAGAAACACCGCAGCAAGGTGCTATGTAAAGATTAAGGGCAAACTTGTAATTTCTATCTTGGATATCAGAGCTGCTGTTAGTTTAATCACCAAGCTCTTAGCTGATAAATTAAGGTTAAGAATAGAGAAACCCTCCAACACTGTCATAATTACTGCTACTGGGACTAGAGAAAGAATATTAAGAAAAATAGAGGAGTTAAAAATAATAATTGGTAGTATATTAATACCTATAACCCTCCAAATCATTGACTCAAGGGACAAAATGCTACTGTTAGGGACTAATTGGTTCTAGAAATCCAGAGCCCGAATGCATTTCAATAAGAGTAAACTATACATAACTTACCAGGGCCAGACAAGTAAAGTCCAAATATCTCATGCAGGCGAGGAACAACTCCATAAACCTACTAAAGAAGATAGTGATGGTAGAGATACCTTCGATGAGTTTGAGTATGAGGATGAGTTGTTAGAAGAAGCTGAAGGATATTACACCAGTGAAGTATCAGAAGAAAGAAGACTATACCTAAACCCATAAGCAAATACCCAAAGCCTAGCTGGTTTTTCTGCTTCAATCGAGGAAATCCCAACCAAAAATTAGGAAGAAGAGAGGGATAACAAAAACAAGTCTCCTTAAACACGATGACTACAAAAGAATTGATAAAGAAATGATTAGTTAAAAACGAGATAAAAAGGTGGAAGAATTATTTAAAAATTTTGAGCACTTATTTTCCAAAGGACTAGATGATTTAGGTAGAACAAATCTAGTCTGACACCAGATAAACACCAGAGACGCGCGTCCAATTAAACAAGCTGCATATCGATCAGGTCCCAAAGAGCAGGAATTCCTAAAAGAACAAGTCAAAGAAATGTTGAACAGTGGGCTAGTTAGAGAATCATATAGCTTCTGGACCTCCTCTGTGGTTTTAGTTTCTAAGAAAAATAGGAAACTTAAAGTGTGCATTGATTATAGGAAACTGAATGCTATAACGAAAAAGGATGGATATTCTATTCCCTGAATTGAAGACCTACTTGAAACCTTTGGAAGAGTGTGCTAGTTTTCTAGTCTAGATTTGGCTAGTGGATACTAGCAGGTCGAAATAGATGAATTAGATAGGGAAAAAACCACATTTGTTACAAAATTTGGAGTGTTTGAATTCAACGCGATACCATTTGTCTGTGCAATATACTAGCCACTTCCAAAGGCTGATGAACTAAATATTTCTGAAGCATATCAGTAAATTTGTGGCAGTATATCTAGACGATATTACAATATACTCCTGAACCTACAAGGAACATTTAGAACATTTGAGATTAGTTTTTAGTAGATTAGAAGAAGCTTAGTTAAAGCTTAACACTAAAAAGTATTAGTTCTTTAACGAATCGTTAAATTTTTTGGAACATGTTATTAGTAAGGATAGGATCTGACCTAATAACGATAATATAGTAAAAGTTTAGAAGTTCCTCATCCTACAAAATCTTAGGCAACTAAAAGGATTTATCATTTATCCTCTAATTATAAGCGATTTATCAAAGGGTTTGCCTCTATTGCTAAGCTGTTGCACCATTTATTACAAAAGGATACTTTGTTTAAATAGAACGCTACTCAACAAGAAGCTTTTGAAACCCTAAAGACCTGCTTAACAACTGCGCCAGTCTTGGAGTATTCAGATTTTGACAAGACTTTTTATCTCTATACTGATGTATTCGAGATAGGACTAGATACAGTCCTATCACAAAAAGATAATCAAGTGAAAGAACATGTGATTGTATATGCTAGCAGGAGTTTGAATAAGGCCGAAAGGAACTATTCTACCACTGAATTAGAGTGCCTAGTAGTGGTATAGGCCATAGAGTATTATTACTACTATTTAGAGCTAAAGCTATTTGTAGTGGTTACTGATTACTCTGCCCTACAATAGTTAGGAAGTTCTAAACTAAAGGGATAACGAGCTAGGTGGATCCTTAGACTTCAAGCTTTCAACTATAAAATAAAGCATAAAAGTAGTACAAAACATTCTAATGTCAATATATTATTCAGAACTACTTACCCCATTAAGCCTGTGATAGGAACTTCTGAAGATATGATAGAGGAGATGGAGGTTTTCACCTTATGTGATAGTTCTAGTTCCAGTTATTGGCCAGATGAAGTATCAATATCAGACGAGTCAAGTGAAATGGAATGGGCTGATAACAAATCTGAAGATTATGACCTCTTAGATAATAGAAGCCAAGATGAAGACTTCGAAGATACTCAATAAAAGACCACAGAAGAAATAACCAATAGTCCTATGAATTCAGATAACATATTTCGTGAGTTACTATAGGACCTAGCTGAAGACTCAGGACTCAAGTTGGAGTGGATACATATAGATCAAGTTTCCCATGAAGGCTTCACTAGTGATAATGAGCTACAAAAATTAAAATGGATATGTTAGTAAATGAGGAGGAGGCCTATACAATTAATACAACACCCAAATTCGAGATTAAACAAAAAAATACTATCCTTAATTGTGTACACAAAAAAGAGGTATATCAAAAAGAATGGACACAGGAATATTTAAATGCTCCAGAAGAGTCAGAGAAAGAGAATGACTCGAGTATAAATCTCTGTATTCAACACGCCAATAGGCTTAACCTAAGTGCAGGAGACGTCTAGTGGAATGAAAATATAGATAAGGAAATAGAGGAAGCAGCCACAAGAAATAACATTATTAGTTGGGCGAGTAGTGTTGATATAGTAGAAGTAAACAATAACTATGATTGGAACCCTGATCTAGAAATTAATAAGGGAAAAGAAAGTATTAGTACAGAAAACACAGAAACAAACCCACTCTAAGAGATGAAAGCTAAGGCTGAAACTTTAAAGAAAGAAAAACCTGAGTCAATAAATAAACCTATGGGTAGACCAGAAGAAAATGGCGATTCAACAGAACTTACAGATCCAAATCCAATGGAGGTCAATAACAAAAAACTCCAAATACCCGAGAAAAGTGAAGAATCCACCAACGTACCAATACTCCTATACCAAAAGATGACTCCTAGAAAAAAACAGAAATTGGCCTTTTACATCTAATATATTAAGTACGAATATATCTACTTTATTTATACTCATCCTACCTTTGGAAGTCATTTTGCTATAGGAGAGTTAAGGTTAAGGGAGGCCATTTACTGGACCAATTTTGGAAGATGCTAACTTGTTGCAAACAACTCACTCGATCTTCTAACTCTACACGAGTAAATTTTAGATGCGTACTAGCAAGAACAAAACTGCACTGACTTATTTAAAACTTAGATTAATTTAAATTTTACCAATATGTTAACTGAATTACATTATTCAGACGAATCTTAAATATCATAAAAACAATTACCTACAAAGAACCTATTGCAGAATATTTCACCAAAATAGTAATATCAGAAGAATCACATGATAATAACTTATGTGCAATAAACCAAAAAGATTTAGACTATCTTGAACTGAATCAGACACATAATATATAAATAAGTCGTATTAATTTACAGTTTCTATATCTTAAGATACCATAAGATTTACTGCAATCACAAACTAAATTATGTGAAAAAAAAATCAGTAGTTAAATATTCTAATATGCAGATCGGTTTTAATTCTAATTATAATTGTTCTTTTATAATTGATCTCATAGATCAATTTATCAATAAATATCGTAACTCAATTGTCAACATACCCAAACCTGGAGTTTCTTATTTTAAATTTTTTTTACTGAAATTATGATTTTTGATCATAATTTGTGTATTAATTTTACTAGTAATATTACAATTACTAATTACAACATAACTCAATTATTAATTAGATTTTTTTTTTATATAATCATAATCACAATTGTAATCTGATAATTAAATCTACTGATAATATATGGGGGGTGTCAGTAGAAACCAAGCATCTTATTTCTAAGTAAATTTTTTCAAACTTTAAATTAAAATATCTTGACAACTATTTAACCAAATCTGATAAATTTTTTTTATTTTAATTCTATAACTAAATAGAATTAAAAAAAAATTTTTATTAAGTTCAGTTTAATAGTTGTCAAGATATTTTAATTTAAAGTCTAAAAAAAATTTACTTAGAAATAAGATGCTTGGTTTCTACTGATACTCTCTATGTCTTATACCCTATATTTTTATATTTTTACAAGAGTAGTTGGGTGCCATTAGCACTCCTGTTTTATGATGTAATTTTATTATAGATTGCATTAAATTACAGTATCAAAATTTAAAAGTTTTTGAGTAGCAATTATGTAAATATTTTAATTATCAACTAGGCACTTGAGTTTTTAAAGGGAGTTAGAATTGAGTGTAATATATTGTATTATACTGGTATAATACATATGTACAGAAGTGTGTAACAGAAATATATAGCTTCTTATGAAATTATATTTAAAATTAACTGATCTTTTGAATAAAATACATTTCGTATTAAATTTATTATATTTGATTATCACTTATCTAATTTAAGTTGTAAGGCTGTAAATATGTATGAATGACGATGCTTTTACACTAATCTTATAATTGTTTGTTATCAGTTAAAGTATTATTCGAAATAATATATCTACCTTGTTAATTCATTTTTGTTTGCATCGCGAGGCATATATTTTTTCAGGTTGACCTAGTCAATAGGTATAATATAATTTATTATATTATGTTAAATTAATAGATTTAGTTAAAATATATTTACTCAGAGATTGGAACTGGTTTTAAACTCGAGTAATATTGGTTTAAGAAAATAAAATCAAGTTAAACTGTACGGTCATCAGATTTGAGTATTTGATTGTATATTGTAAATTAATGATCTATGAAATTATAATGATAAAGTGTCTAACTCAACAATTTATTTTACTGGAAATATTATTTTATCTGTCGAATGTTGTTATTAACGTATTTATTGTTTATTTTTTTTTTCTAGACTAGTTTTATTGAAGTCGTCATCATTTATTTAAAGGATATTTTTAACAGATTTTATAATTTATATCATTATGATTTATGAAAATTAAGAGATAAAGTATTGTAAGGGTAACAAGATTTGAAAGGAATCCAAAAAGTAAGCAAAGTACTTAATAATTTTTATCAAATTAAATGATTTTATTATAAGCATTAAAAGCTAGT